AAAATGTCTTGCAGCTCATGTTATTGCTTTGAAAACTTAATCACTGTATGTGTAAACCTCATGTCTCTCTGGGGTAAATTTTAGCAAACACACTAAAGGCACCATGAACATGTAGTCATTTTTATGTATTCAAAAGTGTCACAACTGCAGCAAATGCTGAATTGTCACAGATCCTGTTTTTATGGTCAGCAGCACAGTCTGTAATGGTGCTGTGTAAGCTGCTGGGATTTTAATATTGTAATATGTGAAAGTAATAAGAAAGTGTGTTTTCATCAGCAAATAGGCTGTAATGATTTGTCAGTGTTAGCTAATCTAGCCCAATATGAAAGCAGACCCCACAGCGGTGTTGATGTAGCACTAGGAATATTCACTCTTCATTGTTCCATGTGGTTCAGGTACAAGACCACAGAGGAGTGCATCAATCACAGCTGCATTATGTCAGTGTAAAAGGGTTATGTGCTTTATGTTCCATTTTTCTTTCTGTTAAACAAAATACATATTAATGTTTCCAGCACACAGAAACAACTTGTATGAAGGATATTTTTGCACACACAACTGTTGCATCTCAGGCATAGCTGATTAACTCGAGGTAGCAGATTTAAACTTACTAAGATTATAGAAAATTAACCAAAATTCTTTTATCTTGTGGGGAAATGGGGAAAGTACAGCCATATTCACCTGTACTGCACAGCTCGTAGATAGAGTGACTTATGAGAAGAACTCTTAGGATCCTGCAGTTCACAGGCAGTAAAGGGAGAGCAGATATTTCATCCAAGCAACGTTTTCCCAGCGCTTCTAGTACAGCAGCTCTTGCTGTTTAAACAGTGGAAACATTTTCACCACCACTTCCTGAGAAGCTGGAATTCTGCATCCTGAACTTCCAGAGATGTCAAAGGGGCAGACCTGGGTGACCCGAGTCATGGGTCCTGAAATGACAATAGGCTTAACACCTCTGGGCACAGGGAGACTTGGGCAGCGGGGAAGCGGTGATAGTGGCCAACTTTACACTATGTTAGGGAAGAACATATCAACTTTCCATACAAGAGGTAGGGCCAAACCAGACATTCTCATTGCTCGGTAAGGGTAGCCCCCTTAAACTTCAAGAGGTGATAGGCTGCTTGCACAGCTAAGTGTTTAAACATATGCGCTGGGTTGGTTTTTAGGTAAGGGCTATAAAATATGTGACTGAGTAGCAGGTTCTCCCAGAGCTATTCTAAACACTGCTCACATTCCCAGGAAGGATCAGATGGGAGTTGTATGCAGCGAGTAATGCATGGTTCTTCCCACTGCTGAGATACCTTTTTTTTTTCCCCTGTTAGCACATGCCTATGTATCCAGACAGTTGCCTACACTGAGCTGGGCTCACAAAGTTATTTCTGAATGCCTTGAAAATTGTCTTTCCCTGAGCAAACCTACGAGCTCACCTGGAAACCAGCGCTACAAAAATACAAAACCCAATCCAATACTTAATTCTGCAGCTAAGTCTGCTCTGTGTTTGCCTCCATCAAACATATCATATTTTTCTTTTAAGGGAAAAAAATCAATCTGTACAGCAGACACTACTGCTGTACTACTGTGGGAAAATGTCTCTTCTAGGAGAAGTCTGGGCAGTATTTTTTTTTTTATATGGGAACATTTTTATGAGCGCCATAAATAGGCCATACACTGTGGATTCATTTGTCAACCAGTATTCAGAAGTGGAAGCCTCTTGACTGCATACTGGAAGATTTTTATAGTTTGCAGGCGTTGCTTGCATTAAACTGGAAGGGGGATATATATATATCTCTATTAAATAGAAGTATAAATTGAAATAGCCTATTAGACTGAAAGTTGATACTGAAGAATCAGAGGACAGCAAAATAAATGGGCGACCAATTTACTCTACATGAAGAGATGTGACAGATTTGGGCAAACTACCCCAGCATGGCAAGAGTCACCTAGTGATAGGCTGTAACCAGCAACTACTAGAGAGAAACAGTAAATTGATTTTTCAGTTCTAATGGGAATGCTTCAAAATATTGCTTTCAATTATTAACCAGCTCCAGCAACTAGACAGTATTCAGCATAAAGCTGCATATGAAACAGTTTGAGTTGAAGCTGGCAAGTAGTTAACAACTGTGAAGAAAATCTAAGCAGGCAACTTGGTAGGAAGCATTTTCAGACAAAAAAAGTCGGGGCTTTTGTGACCTTTGTTCTTAAATTCCAACAGCTGTTTCTCTTCCTGAGAAACTCAAAGCAATTAGTGGGACTGTAGTTTCAGGAACTACCTCTGAAATATGAACCAAGTATCTGAATCTCTGGGCAAGTAAGTTGAACTGGTTGTTAAAAATGATTTCCAGGTGATTAAGTAGTATGTCAAACACTGGCAACATCCATATTCGCATTCCAGTTAGGTCAGCTGCTCTTCACAAGATATGCTGCTTTCTAGACAGTAGGATTCTTCCTCCCAACCACTGCATTCGCAGAGTTTCCCAGGCTCTAACATAAGCAAATACGTCTTTATCTGTGACACGTAACAGGTACCAGAATGTAAATTAACAGACGTACTAAACCTTTAGAGCTAATGTCCTTTGCTAGCTTTTAAGAGGGTGTCAGTGTAACAAATATGCACGTGGGATATATTTCTTTTACTGCTGAAGATGTAGTTTTGATGAGACAGGTAATTCTGTAACACACACACACACATAAAAAAAAAAAGTTAAACAAGTAGCTATTTTGAGAACACTGACTGTGGGGTAGACAGGTAAGCATTTTTATTTTAAATAAAAGCCAAAACACATGTAAGTGTGCTCGTGACATTGTATTTAGTATGGAATACTGAAAAAACTCTCTTGATTTTTGTCTTGTGAACTTAAAATGGTTATTTAACAGATGGTTTTCCTGCAAGTTAGCTGAAGCACAGGCTTTGTCCTTGGCATTCAGAATGTAAGTCAGTCCTGCAGACACTAGATCTAAGCACAATCCTATAAAGTACTTAACCCCACAGAATCAGCCCCACTCTGCACAAAACCCAGTAGCAGCAGTCCTCATGTGTTACACAGAGTTAACTAAGGATTTGCATAATATGAATAACTTTTACTGTATACATTATATACAAGCTATTTCTTTGGGCTCAACCAGTTGGAACACTGTTCTCTATAAAATGCTTTATTGACTTCCTTCTTATATTTGTCTTTATATAGCAATAATTCCTTATTCTGTGACAATGTATGATTCCACTGCTACCTTCAAAATACTTTTTTTCTACACACATATTCAATGTTAGCTCAGAAAAACTTCACTCATCCTTCCAAAGCAGAACTGAAAATACAAAAGATATGCCTAAAGTAAGCACTCTGCTCCGGACCCAGATTTCATGGCTGACTATTTCTAGAATAGGTTAAAGCCAAAAGGCTTCAACTGAAGTCAGCTATACGAACTGCAGTCATCCTGAACAATCAAAGTAGTTATACCTGATAAAGTTGTCATTTGGTTGTAATCCAAATGTGTCCTTACCTGCCAAGTGGCTTAAATCATAGCTTTAGTAGCCAGATAGCATAGACAAAGATCTGCACAGTCTGCAGCAACCGAGCTGTGCAGTTACCAAGCACTCAGGGGAGCACCACATCTGCCTCTCTGCTGCCGACCTTGCTTGGAGCAGGACCCATCCTGCCTCCTCTTAGCAGAGAGTAGCTGCTCTCCCCGTACCTCTGGGGAACTGGCATAAGCAGGAGCAGGGAATGTCATGCATAGTCCTCACCAGAGGCTGAGTTGCCCAAGAAAAAACAGGTAGTCTTAGGGGGTCTGGAATACTCTTCTCTGAGGGAAAGTCTTCACTGGTGGTAGCAAATACCTAGGCTGAAACACAGGTGCTTCCTGCATGCCCAGAAACAGCGTTCACTGGAGTACAGAAAGTTTAGAGTCTGTGTCTCGGAGAAGGTAAACCTGGCACGATTACTCCACTGGGCTGCGTAAGATCTGCAGAGGCAGGGACAAGCTGAAAGGCAGGTTTCTGGGTAAGAAGTGCTGAGCCTTTTTGTTGGCCCTGGCATAGCTGACCTTCTGAGAGTAGGTGTCAAAATTGTTCTGTCAACCAATCTCTTGAAGATTTAAAAAAAGGAGGGCAAGAGGGGAAGAGAGGAGGAGGATGGAGTCCAGGGCAGGCCTCTCTCACGTGACGTTAGTTGGCATGCGAGGCTTAGGATGCGCTTCTGGTAGTTAGTTCTTATCCTCTGAAAGAAAACCATAATAGGGAAGCAAAGCAAAGCTCAGCACAGCTTTGGCAAGATGGTTTTGCACAATAGGAATAGGATGAGGAAGAAGGGCGGGGAAATTCCTGTTACAAGTAACAACATCACGTGGGACAACGTTCAGTATCTTGCAACCAGCAGCACTTACCCAAAAGCTGATGTAGAAGAAAATCTGCAGCGTGTTACTGCATTGGGCAGGGTGACTGGGAGTGTGGTCAAACAGGTACGCTGCTCTCCATCTCAGATGGGGTCTACAGCGAGCAGGTTAGAAGCTCTGCAGCTAAGAGACAAAGGCTGATGGCAGGATGGGCTTTTGCTGTGAATCTCACCACTGCTGGAAGCAGAAGAAAGTGACAGGACTGTCAAAGAAACAGAATGGAGCCTGTGCTGGAGACAAGAATGATGATCTCCCGCACAGTCTTGTTAGACTTGGTGCTAAAGAGGTCACTACACTCAACTGGGGAAACAGAAGTCTTCCCCAGGTTTTTCAAAGCAAGTCCTCTGGTTCTGGAAAACATCTCAGCCTTCTGTATTGAACTCATATTAGTAGCTACCTTTAATAAGTAGTAATAGTCTTGTATTCATTGGTGAAGATCTGTAGAGTGAAGTAAATTTAAAAAAAAATAATTGTTTCTTTAGGAATTGAGATAATTTGATCAAAACGTTATTTTTCTGTTGAAGGTATGAGCAATTCAGATGTGATGGTTGCTCTGCAGCGTGGGTACCGAATGCCACGCATGGAAACCTGTCCAGCTGAGCTTTACGATATCATGAAAACATGCTGGAAAGACAAAGCAGAAGAGAGGCCAACGTTTGATTATCTACAGAGTGTGCTTGATGACTTCTACACAGCAACAGAAGGGCAGTATCAACAACAGCCATAGAACAAAGAACACTTTTTCTATTGCCATGGATCATTGGCACAGACTATTACTTGGACAGACTGCTCAAACCAATTACTTCACGAGTTTGGATGTCTTAACCGAGTGTGGAAGATGAAATGCTGAAGGAAAGAGTAATCCTGCAGAGAAATAATGTTTTTATTTGGTTAAAACAGTTCCTCTAAAGACTGAAGTTCTCTTTAAAAATGCTCTGTGTTTTGCATCTGCAGAAACATCCCAAACCAAGCAGGCTTTTTAGGGTGGGGAGGGAGAAGGAAGGAAAGTGATCATGCACCACTGCAGTTTGGCAATGTCTTCTTAGGATCTAAGTCATAGAATACATTACAAGGAGACCTTTATGAAAGAGGTGAGAAGATGCATGAACAGCTGTTTTTTTCAAAAGAAAAAGCTATGAAGGAGAACTTACAGCTTTAAGACATGGTGATGTTCTTAAATCATCTTTTTTTGAAATACAGCATATTGGGAAAATTATTTTTATATCCTTGCTATTTCACAGTAGTAGTTGGAGAACTGTCACCTCTTGTAAGACTTTCTAGACAGTGTCATGGTTTCCTTTAAGGAAGGGTTATGTATGTAATTATTTACACTGAAGATGATTCTGGTTTACTGCTGTATTACTCATATCAAATTTAAAATAATTTTCAAAGCATCGCACAGCCATCACAGATGCAGAAGTGCAATATGACCACACATGAGAGCAGAAGCAGCAGCACACCTCGCTCTGGCTTCAGCCTTCACTATCCCACGAGGCCAAAGTCATCGTCTGAAGTCCATGGGGAAGCACAGGATTTGGAAGGAAGTTAATACTTTCATTGCAGTCATTGAGACTGGTACCAGTGAAAATATTTTAATCTTAATTTTTAATCCTCTGTGATTAATCAAGAATATTCCTTATGTTTTTGCTGCTTTAATCAACTAACCTCCAGTCTGTTTTAAAGCTAAAACTGGCCCTGGCGCTATCAAAAATAATTTGTGGAGATATGCAATAGGGAAGCGAGTTACAGTGCAGTGACACTATAGGTTTGTTGCTCAGTATGTAAGTCTGATTCATAAAAGTGAATGCAGTTTGCTAACTTCTACCTGTTGAATTTTTCTGTCAAATTACTTCCCAGAAGAGTGGAGCTAGTGCAGTTGCAATGTAACTACAGCATAGATTACTTTCTTTTTACCCCCAAAGTGACACTGGTTCTTACAACTGAAACCCAGTACAGCTTTGCCACCTCTCAGCCCAATTATTTACGCAGTGGTACTTTGCACAAGCTTAAAACCCTTTTGATAAAGCTTCAGTGTGCCTGCAGTTGGAGTTCAACAGCATAAGTATTAATTGCTTTTCTTTTCCATTGGCTTCCTTCAGTCAAACTGTGCAGTTTAAGCAGACTCACTTAAATATGTAAATAGTTTCTATTGTATGGTGATTTTTAATTTTAATAAACACTTAATCTAAAGCAAGTTGTATGGCAGTAATTTGAGATAAAACAAATGACTGATGTTCTATCCAGGGTGGTACCTTCACGTAGAACAGGGGAACATCTATTCATTACCACTAACAAGATTAATGGATTCTGCTTTCCTTACACCCATTCAGCTTTGAGAAGCTGAAAAGGACCAAACCAGCCACTTCTCTGTCCTTGTTAGGGTTTCTTTTTTGGAAGAAAAGTCAGTCCGCATCTGTCCTTTAAAAACAGCTTCTCAAAAGTCATTAATGTAATAGCAACACAGTCCATTGCAACTCTTTGAAAAACAATACATTTAAGAATTGGTCAGTGCTTCATTACAGGCTTCATTTAATTTAAGGAAAAAAAAAAAAAAAAAGCTTAAAATAATGTATCCTTGTCTTTCAAAGCATTTCCTGTAGCCAGCTAACAAGCTCTGGGAAGTAGGAGGGAACATGGAAACAGGAGTTGTTCAGGTAATAACAGGTTATAGTTAGTGTTACATAAACTTGCTAATGTACACTCAGACAAGTGACAGACTGTCAAGGTGTAGCGCTAGATCAGTTGAAAGGGTATAGAAAGTTTCCAGCATTTGCTTGTTTTGAGGATTTTTTTTCCTTCTATTTGAATATTGCTGTTCTTCGAGCAATTTGTAAGCAACAGCTTTCTTATTCAAGGGATCCACACTCACTGTATTGTATCACTACACCAAATTACTTTTTAATAGCTGGGATAGTTTGTGTGACAGTAGAATAATATTTTAGAAATTCTACCCTGGAGGGACTATAAAGCCTTTATAACTGCTGGAGCAAGATGGCTTCTATTTAACAGAAGTAGTTTCAAACATGAGAACAGCACTGGCTCAAGTGCTACAGCCCCAGCCTGGGTAGAGACGTGTCAGAGTGATCACTTACCATTGCGTTTGCACAAACACGAAACAAAAGACCTGGCCAGGACATTCCCAGCAGAGGGACTGTTCTGTGTCCCACAGGAAGGCTGCACCACCTAGTGTCGCCACAGGGAGGCTGAAGCTCTGGCTCTCAACTGCGTCCCCTTCCACTGTGAGAAACAGCACTACAGGGAATGATCAATCCAATTTACTCAGGGGTTCTGCCTTGTTCTGAAGAGATTCTCCAGCACTCACAAGCATGGTACAGTAGTGAGAAAGAAAAAAAAAAAAACCAAAACAAAACAACAACTCTCCCCTTCATTGACTGAAATGGCTCTAAGAAAGCTATGTCAAATTTTATCATGCTCCAGTCTTCCTTCCTTGAGTTACTAGATAAAGGCAAGTAATATAATCAGGGCAGTGATTCTTTCAACTCCAACTCATAATATGTCAACCACTGTTATCATTTGGCCTCTAAGTTTATGATCTTTCCTTATCTTGATTTCACTGATTTTTTTCTCACCTTTATAAAATGAACAGTCAGAGCTTAATTTAGCAATGGAAAAATTTATTTTAAATAGTTTATAGTTTAATGTTTAAATAGTTTAAAGTTTAATGCACATTCTTAGTGGAAATTCAAATGATATTAAAACATGTTCCTTTACAAAGCCAGGTTAGCTGAAAAATAGCAAGGAGCCAGATAAGACCTCATTTTGTTGCGTCTTTTAACAATTTGCTCAGTTTGGTCCCAAGATGGCAGCCCCTAGGTAAAAGCCAGAGTATTAACTGAAGAACCAAACTATCTGAACTACTTGAGATTAAGTTTACAAGCCATCTGACTTCCAGGAATCAACAATGAAATTAAATACTTAATTTTAAAAGGTAACAAGAGCAGCAGATCAGGGACATCCCACTTATGTGCATGAATCACACATTTATCATTTTAGATGGCCATGATAGTAGTTAATCAAGAATTAAAATTATATATATATATATATTTCTCAAATCACATTCCTATATCAACAGTAAAAGCACAAGGTTAGGTCTATACTTACACAGCTCTAAATTCAACCCTGATTAAATTTAAAAAGTTCTGTATTAAACATTTTTCTGTCAGATAACATGACAGTGAAGATGGTATCCAAGAGTGAGAAAAAGCTACCAGCAGTTTAGGATTGATGAAGAAGCCCAATAATTGCAGACTTTGGTTACTCAAATATTATTCTTTTGCTTTATGAGCCAACAGTACTTGTTTTCTTGAAGAGGATGAAGCATCTTCATACTTTCCCCAGCCTTTACCAAGGGGTGTACTAGCAGTGGCTGCTACTGTGGATTTCAGATTAGCCAACAAACCTCTCCTGGGTTTCTGTTGTTTTGCCTCTTCTATAGCGAAATGCTTTTTCTGTTCATCAAGTTTTTTCTGCAGGGAAGACACTGTTTCTTCAAGCTCAAGAACACGTTTAGCCCAGTTCTGAAGACTATTCATTTCTTGATCCTATGAGGATAAGGTTGTGTTAGGTATGTGAACAGTCCAAGATCTTTTTCATGTAGTTAATTTTCTGTTTCAGATTATTTTACTGTACCAGTAAACACCCTTGTTATTACTACACTAAATGGCTACTCAGGACCTATTTCTTCTGAATTACTTCTATGTAAATTAGAGAACGGCAAACTACGGGGCCATCAGATCTAGTAAAAGACCAGGTCTGACTAAGCAGCTGATGCTAAAATGCTTAGTGACACTATGCAAAGAATTGCTGTTGCTCTAGGAACCAAATAAAGAAGGCTTTCCTGTCTTAACCTGCAATTACTGAAAGCAAAACTGGACAAATCAAAACTCTTACCATAGTTTTAAGCCTGCTAACTAGGACTGAAAAAAATGCTTTGAGGGGTCAGAATAGAGAGTCTTAAAGATGCTCTCTAATCCTTGTGGTTAACAAAATGTCACTATGTCTTTTAAGAACTAAGTAAGAAACAAAGTTCAAGATGACTAATTTTCAGTCTCAGACTGAAAAGTACGCAGAAGCTAATTTAATGTTCAAATAAAAACATCACTAAGCAGTATTATAGTTGCCTTGCTTCATTTGCAGATTACAAATTACAATTGCAAATGAGGCATAGATGCAAAGTTTCAAGTGTTCAAAATTTTCAATTTTTTATTTAGGAATCTAGTTGATATCTGAGGTCAGATGCTGTCAACTTTACGAAGTCCCTGCTTTTGAAGGAAAGGTTTCTTCTATTTCAGTATTAAGTAGTTTACCTGCCCTTATCTCTTACCCAGCTTAGCCACCTCTACAGGAGTGTCAATATAGCTTTAAAGCCACAGATCCTTAGGTCTTGTTGCACTACCATTTGTGCACTAACAGCTCACTTGCCCTCAGCACAACACTTTATGACTAGAGTTCTGAGTAGTATTTTCTTTGCTTGACAATAATTTGTGGCATCTTTAGATTAGCAAGAGTTGTCAGCACAGAGTTACCCTATGGACTGAGCCTATCACTTAAACTGAAAAATGAGTCTGGTCTTACAAAGATACAAAGTCAAAAAGTAAAAAAACACAGGCTCTGAGCTCATAATTCAGGAAGTTAGGGATAAAAAAATGCTAACATCAAAATAAATTAACAAGACTGAATGGTGTTTTTACATGTACAAAGATGCAGAAACATCCAGTACAACTATAGACACAAAGCCATAAAGTTGCTTTTAAATTGTTAACAGACCTTGAGCATGATTGTATGCTTCAGCTGGCTGTTCTCTTCTGCCATTTTTCTGTAGCCTTCATTAGCTTCTAGCAGGGTTTCATTTAATTTCTGTATTTTGAACTTTAGAGATTTTATAAGCTGAAAATAAAACCCATACACAAAGTTCAAAACAGCATGTTTTACATTAATTCTGTTTATGACTAGAACTCACGCAGACTCTATAAGCCTATAAGCATTTCTGATTAATATTGAACAGTGCAAACTGCAAGATCAAAGCAATGAAGATGAAGTCTGCTTCTCTCAACCTTCTGTGTCCCAACCCATCATTTCTGGTGATAAAATACAGCTGAAGCATTCAAAGCCTATTGTGCTGAAGCTACTAGATTTACACAGACCTGTCAATCAAAGAACAGCAGCACAGACTAAGCTAATTCTCAAACAGTTTGCTCCTTTTCAGCAAGGGTAGTTAAAAGAACACTGTCATCTCATTAATACTATTCGTATAATGAATTAGAACACAGTTAACAACAGAAGACATCACCTTTCTGATGGGAATATTGATGGATTAAGTCCTGAGATGGA